TGGCACTGTACACAATATCTGGCACATACAGGTCTACGATAACTATTTTCCCCAACATTTTATAATAAAATTTTTCAAACATAGAAATTTAAAGAATTTTATTGTTAATACCAGTATACCCACTAGCTAGATTCTATCATTAACTCTTTACTATTTTTGTTTTGGATTCCCTGGGTAGTGGAAACGGTTAAGCACTCTGCTCCTAACAGAAGCATTGGAGGTTCAAGTCCACCCAGAGGCACCTTGGAAGGATAGGCCTGGTAATCTTCTATAAAATCAGCCATTGACAACTCTATACACCACAGTTCTGCTCTCACACACACGAGGTCACCATGAGTGGGAATCAACTGGACGGCAAGTGGACACAATTCCTGTTTTAGCGTATATCTATCCATCCAGCTATCCTCTGTCCATCAACCAAGTCCTCTAATTTTTTTATTCATTTCAAAGAAAGTTGCAAATACCATTTCACTTCCCCTTAAATGCTTCAGTACTCATATAATTAACTGGAGCTGAATATTTGTTTACAATTTTTTTTTCTTTTGAACATATAACGAAATGCACCAGTCTTAAGGGTACTATTTAATGATTATTGGCAAATGTGTACACCTATGTAACTCAAACCCCTATCAAGACACTGGACATTCCCTAACCCAGAAGAGGCCACAAGCCCCTTCCCAATCACCATCCCACCCCTCTCCAAGCAATCAGCCTTCTGATATTTTTTTCACCATAGATTAGTTTTGCCTCTTCCAGAACTTCATATATGAATTCTTACAGGATGTGGTCTTTGTCTGACTTTTTTCACTCAGCATGATGTTTTTGAGATCATCCATACCGCTGTGTGTAAAAGTATTTCTCAATAAATATTGATTAGTGATTTTTATCACTGTGTTGATTAACTAGCAATTTCCATTAACTGTTGTTGTTAGTTAGTTGCCATGGAGTCGATTCTGACTCCTGGCAATCCATGTGTGCAGAGTAAAACTTACTCCATAGGGTTTTCAAGGCTGTGATCTTTCTGAAGCAGATTGCCAGGCCTGTCTTCCAAGGCACCTCTGGTGTGTTCGAACTGACAACCTTTCAGCTAGTAGTCGCGTGCTTAACCATTTGTAACCCACAGACTCCTTCCCCTAACAGTGTATTTAAATACAGTTTAAGGTTGCCTGAATGCCTCTTATTAAGCCTTTCTGGCGTTCAGGACTACTGTTTGTTGACAACTTAGTAAAGGCGGGGCAAGAAAAATGTGGCATTGTCTTTTTAAAATTAAAGGAAGGTTATGATTTGAGCACGAGACAGGAAAGACAGTCTCAGAGACACTGCAAGCGTCTCCGCTCTCAGGTGTAGGTGTGAAGGCTAAACGAGGCATTGTTCACACGAATGGTGTTTTGGAATGCTCACTTACACTTGGAGGCCAAGGGGACCTCTCTATCTTTGAGTGCTTTCAGCAGTAGTTCCCCATTCTCCAGGGAGGGGGACTGAGAACAGGCTGCGAGGAAGTAAGTGCAGGATAGAGCTTCTACTCAGTCTGTTGCAGTAAATACGACTGGTTTTTTGGGGGAGTACCAAGAGCCCCAACTGAAATTTTTCAAAGAATCCCCTCTAGCCCACAACTGTCTTCTAGAAGTGTGGCTTCCCAAGCTCAGGAAGGCTGGGGGGCACTGTGCTATTTGGCATGAGAATTTTAAGTTAGTGATTTATTTGACATTCCTGCTAGCGCTAACCAGGTAGTTTCAACTCCTAGGAAATCCATATTGCTTCTCATTACTAGTCAAAGGGGCTAAACATACTAGTGGACTAGAACGAACCCTGGCTTATATGCAGCCCAGATTGCTACCTGGGGGCACCTGCAATCTCAGGTAGCTCTCCGTGGTTAAACCAGGTGACTGGATCTAAACTCTTTTAACTAATGACCTGGTTCCATAGCCTCCTTCCTAAGAAGTGTGTAAAGGACAGGCCACAGGGGAGAGAGAATTAACACAAGTTTGGATATGGGGGACTCCGAGGAGTGTGCATTTTAAGATCACAACGGTCTTCATGAATTATGCTTTTTGCTTTTAACTCTCACTTAGCATCCCAACTCAGGGAGATTTGGGGAGTAGAGATGGAAAGGGGGTGGAAAGGAGATGGGAGATTGGCTTGTATAGAAACTGGTGAGAAGAGTCTAGAAGGAATTACAGTTGACAACCAGATGCCTAGCAATTAGAATAATTGGGGAGGGGAGGGGGGCGGGGGCACCTTAAGAGAAAGGCTCAGCCTAAGGCTGCCTAAATCGGCAAGGATTTCATTTTACTTGGATCCACAATCAACACCCATGGAAGCAGCAGTCAAGAAATCAAACAATGCATTACACTGGGCAAATGTGCTACAAAAGACCTCTTTCAAGTGTTGAAAAGCAAAGATTCACTTTGAGGATTAAGGTGCACCTGACCCAAGCCACGGTATTTTCAATCACCTCATGAGCATTCGAGAGCTGGGCAACAAATCAGGAAGCCCTGAGAAGAACTGATGTTAAAAAAAAAAAAAAAAAAAAAAAAAGATGCATTTGAATTATGGTGTTGGTAAAGAATACCGAATATACCATGGACTGCCAGAAAATGAACAAATCTGCTTGGAAGTATAGCCAGAATGCTCCTGAGAAGTGAGGATGGTACTTTGGACATATTATCAGGAGGGATCAGCACCTGGAGAAGGGCATCATGCTTGATAGAGGGTCAGCAAAAAAGAGGAAGACCCTCAAAGAGATAGATTGACACAGTAGCTACAACAATGGCCTCAAACATAGCAACGATTGTGACGATGCCACAGGACTGGGCAGTGTTTCCTTCTGTTCTACATAGGGTCGCTGAGTCAGAATTGACTTCACAGCACCTAACAACAAGAGTTAACAAGGCAGCCTATGCCAGCTGCTAAAATGACTGACTGTAAACTAATTCTGCTCTTGGACGTACCCCTTTCAAATTATAGAGTAATTCTCTCATTAATGATCATCAAGATGGCACAGATTACCATTAAGAAGGCGTCTTTCTTACGAGTATTTCTTGGGATGTTAGAATACCAAGATTCCTAAACCATCCTTGGTGGCTATGAACTGATTTGAAGAGATCAGTGCTTTGTTTTATTCCTCAGCATGATGAACTCCGGCACTGAAAATATTTTCCATACTGAGCCTTCCACCAAAAGCAGAAAGGAGGTAACACAAATACCCAGCCGTTTACGCTCTCATAACTCAGCATGTTGGGAACTACTTTTTTCTTGGGCCCACTGTGCCCTACAGCCCGGGAGAGCTTAATCCCCTGTATAGTCATGATTTTGCGCACGAACATACCCAAAACAAGGGCCAAAACGTTGCCCACTGTACAATAGAGACCTGTCTTTCCCTACAGCGGTCCCTCAGACTCAGCAGCGAGCCCTCTAGGAGAAGGGCTGGGCGAAGCTTCGGCCAGCCCGCTGGTTTCCTTTGACCTTAGTTATGACTGGGAGTGTCGTTGTTAATTGTGAAGCTCGCCTCAAGGTGGAAAATAGCATTGGTTTCCCCTGCCACCACAGAGAAGGCAAGTTCTTCGGCTAGGCGATGGCGACGAGACGACCAGTGTCTAGCCACCCAGAGAGCTGCTAGGAGGCCGCCTACAGGTGCAATCCCGGCACTGCGGCCCTGGGAGAGTCCGGGCCGGCGCTGGGAGGGTGGGCCGGCAAGCCCACCGGCATCTCTGCCTGCTCCTCCCAGAGCCCAAGCCAGGGCCCCTGCGGGCCGCCGCCCTCTCCTCCCGGTTTCCCCGCGGCTCTACCCCTGCGCGGTTTGGAAAGGAAGCTGGGAGCCCTCCGAGGCTCCGCAGACTCGGGTTGAGAGGGGGTGGGGCGGGCTGAGGCTTCCCCTCGAATCTGCGGCAAGCCTGGCTCCGGGAAAGTTTTGCAAAGTTCCCAGCAGCGCCGGCCCAGGTCGCCTCCGCGAGGCGAGCAGACGGCGGCAAGCGGGCCAGCCTCGCCGCCGCCTCTGCCGCTCCTGCCGCCAACAGAGCGCTCTGGGCGGCTCGTTCGCTCGCGGGAAGCGGGCCGGGCTCCCGGCGGGCAGGCCCTCCTCCTGGGGCAAAAGCCGCAGCTGACGCAGGCGGGTCGGAAGGCGGAAGAGGCCCCGCTCCGACCGCTCGGGCAGCGCCGCGGCGCCTACACCTGGGGCCCCGACGGGCGGGCGGAGGCGCCGGGCTCGGGGCGCCCGAGGGGTGGCCACTTGACCCTTCCAAGGTTTTCCCCGCACTCTCTCCTGGGCCGCCACTCCTCAGTCACGCCTGGCCCAGAACTCCTGAGGGCGAGGGTCTGCGCAGAGACCCCCGACGTCTATACCGCCCCGTGCGTCCCAGAGCTACTTCCAAGTTCCTCCCCGCACTCCCCCATCCCGGGCCCCTCCTCTCCATCACCAGGGGAGGGAAGGGGCGTTTCCTGGATAGGCCCACCCCCTTATGAATATTAATAAGTGCGCATGCGCCCTACCCGTAGCGCTGGGTAGAGGTGGCCAGCCCGGGCCGCGGCTCCCAGACGGGCTCTGTGGGTCCTTCTCTGAGAGCCGGGCGGGCGCGCGTCATTGTGTTACCTGCGGCCGATCCGCGAGCTGGGCTCGGGTTTTTTTTTTTTTCTCCCTTCCCTCCCCCTTTCCAAGCAGCTAATCTGAAAGGAATAAAAGGCTGCGCATAATCATAATAATAAAAGAAGGGGAGCGCGAGAGAGGGAAAGAAAGCCGGGAGGTGGAAGAGGAGGGGGAGCGCCTCAAAGAAGCGATCAGAATAATAAAAGGAGGCCGGGCTCTTTGCCTTCTGGAACCGGCCGCTCTTGAAAGGGCTTTTGAAAAGTGGTGTTGTTTTCCAGTCGTGCATGCTCCAATCGGCGGAGTATATTAGAGCCGGAACGCGGCGGCCGCAGGGGCAGCGGCGACGGCAGCACCGGCGGGAGCACCAGCGCGAGCAGCAGCGGCGGCGTCCCGAGTGCCCGCGGCGCGCGGCGCAGCGATGCGGTCCTCACGGACGCGCGGCCGGCCTGGGCGCCCTCTGAGCCTCCTGCTCGCCCTGCTCTGCGCCCTGCGAGCCAAGGTAGGAGCCCACCGGGCTTCCCTCTCCTTTTTCTCGCGGGGTCCTGCACGCCTGCGGTTGAGCGCGGCGCCCGGCTTACGGGCCCGGCCCCTGCGCCCCAGCGGCTGCACCTGGGCTGGGCACGTCTGCTCTCGCTTCGGGCGCCCGGAGCCTCCTAAGCGTGGCCCCTCCAGGCTAGGCTGGGGACGCGTCCGTTCTGCTCTTGTCCCCCGCGGTCAGTCGTCGGATTTTTTCCGCACTCGTGCATTTTATGCCCCGGAATCACGTTGAGCCCTTGAACTCCGTTTTGAAAAATTACTTTCACTTGGTGCGGAGGGCTCGTCGGGGCGGGTGGGGAGGGATTCGCCATCTCCACCCTCGCAGAAAACAACTTTTGCCTTCGCTGACCTCCCTCCCTCCCTCGCCGGCAGGTGTGCGGGGCCTCCGGCCAGTTCGAGTTGGAAATCCTGTCCATGCAGAACGTGAACGGGGAGCTGCAGAACGGGAACTGCTGCAGCGGTGCCCGAAGCCCGGGGGACCGCAAGTGTACCCGCGACGAGTGTGACACGTACTTCAAAGTGTGCCTCAAGGAATACCAGTCTCGCGTCACTGCTGGGGGACCCTGCAGCTTCGGCTCGGGGTCCACGCCTGTCATCGGAGGCAACACCTTCAACCTAAAGGCTAGTCGCGGCAACGACCGCAATCGCATCGTGCTGCCTTTCAGTTTCGCCTGGCCGGTGAGTTACGGACGCAGGGAGGGAGGCCCGGCCGAGGCTCGCCCCACGCCCGACCGAGCCCTGCTTTCCCCTGTGAGGAGCATTTAAAGGGCCTTGGCTGGAAATTCGGCGCTAACTGGGGAAGTCTTTGGGAGTAGGGAGTTAGGGAACCGAGGCTCTATAGTTAAACCTCGGCAGACCGGACGGGGCGGGCCCCATCCCCGCGGCTCTTTGCTAAGCGCGCAAAAAGTGCAGACCTCAGATGGGGTTGCGCGGCAAAACGCCCAGTAAGGCCGGTTTAAACTTGCAACTTGAAGGCCCCAGGGTAACCCCTGAGCCAGGAGGTCGTTATGCGTGGTCTCTTTGCTTAACTAGTTAAACCTGGTGCGCGGTGGAAGGAGACGACGACCAGTTTTGGCCTTCTAACGCTGTCTAAATTGGCACCCACCCCTTTTCCGTGAGCCACTGGGAGGGCGGGTGTGTCCTTCCTGGAGGGGCTTGGGGGGAGCCCGTTTCCCCGCTTCTCCCCGGGAGTTTTTCATGCGTGCGGGGGCGAGCTCGGGCCTCGGCCCACGGGTCTCGGCGGCTGCAGCGGGGGAGGGGGTCTACGAGCCCTTGCAGGGGCTGTAGGTTCGAGAGCCCCCGCCCCCTGCCGGCCCCTTCCTGCCCCTGCGCGGTGCAGCCCTTCTGGCCTCACTTCCAGCGGTTCCTGGGCTCTGGAACAGCTGTGTTTGCAAACTTCCCCGGGAAGGGCGGGGGTGCGCCCTTGTCGGGCCGGCGCGCCCGGCCCCCGCAGGCCTTCGGGGGCGTGCCAAGGTTGGGAAGGGGCGGTGCACTGGAGGCAAGGCTGGCGGGTGCAAGTGCATAGACCCTCATCCCCTTCCTCCACCCCCAGAGCTGCTTGAGGCCTGGGCCCAGCTGGACTACCCCTTAGCAAAGCCCTTGCAACATCCCAAAATGGGTGGAAGGAAGATGGGTGTGATTGCAGAAAGGGAGGAAAGGGAAATGTTGGGGGTGCCCTGTGCCCAGCTGCTGCTGTCCAGGAGGCGTGACTCATTGCCAGAACTGGGGCTCAGCCCAGCATGGCCTGAGAGGGTGTGTGTGGGGGGTGGGTGGCTCGGGCTGCAGAGGAATGCTCTCGCCACGTGCTCTAATAGGGTGCATGCACTCTGCTGCCTCCTACCCGTGGGCTCAGGCTGTGATTCTTAGCTCCTAGAGGGAGGGGAGAGTGTCCAGCTAGGTCTGCTGAAACTTGGGGTGGTTCCAAAGGCCCACATTCATAGGAATTGGCATTGTAGTGTCCTCTGCTGTGTGTGAGATAAGACAGTAATCAAAAATAGTCCATTAAATGGGAAAGGGGCCTATAAAAAGCCTGGGGTGTGCTGAGCTCCCTGCGATTGGAGGGCTGCTGCAGTTGTGGGATTTAATTTTTACAAAGAGTGTTTATCTTGTTTGTTCACCTCTTTAGCTAAAAGTTCTCCCTAAAAGAGGATTGCCAGTTTCAAATCTGTCTGAGCCCGTGTGCAGTGGGAGTACTGACGGCCCTTAAATGTGTGTGTTTGGAGTTCAGGGAGAAGGGGCCCTGCAGGTGGTTCCACCATCCAGAGGATCAGTCCAGAGCCCCTCACTTTTCACAAGACCATAAAAGGAATCTTATTAATGATGGGGAAAAGCAGCAGGCCTGGCTGAGGTTCATTTTGGAGGGAAGGGTCAGAGGATGGCATGCAGGAAAACAGGGAGCCTGGCTCCCTAGGCTGGCTCGGGCCAAGTGACCTAGATGGTGTGTCTGTCCCCTTTTGACACTTGGCAGAGAGGCTCCGGAGGGGAAGGAATGGAAGCAGCGTGGAAGGGCAGGGGAAGCATTTGATTTGCTGGTGTTCTTCTGTGGTTTCAGGCCCCACGGGTCACCGACCATGAAACAGACTGTCGGCTTTTCTAGAATGGGAGACACCGGGAGTGTGGTTCTTTTGAAGTTGGGCCAGATGTGTGTGTATCACTCATAAACAGGTCTCCACCCTGCCTCCCCAGAAAAGCCCTCCTTGAAACATAAGCTTCACTTCCCAAGAAAAAATTGGATGTTTAGGTGTAACAGTATTGTTTTAGTTTATTTTCCTGAGTGTGGTTGGGAAAACACCACAGTATGTAACTTTCAAGAATGATTCCCAGGTGAATGTAAACTTAAGTGAAAGTACCCAGGTAGCTGAACAAGGATTGAAGTAGATAGTATAGCTTCATTCAGTTTGGCAATTAAATATTAAATAAGTATGTCTTATAATAATTAATTTCTTCAAGTAATAAGGTCTGAACTTGATACAGAATTCAAGAGGTAAAAAGAAGTATATATGGTTTAAAAAAAAAAAAAAAAAATCTCCTAACCAAATTGGACTCCCAGCCACCTAAGGTCCCAGCCTCAGGGTAGCCACAGTTACTGGTCTGCATGGGTCAGAAGGACTGTAGTGCAGGGTAAGTCAGTTTAGAAGGTTGGGTACTTCGTGTCTTTGTTCAGAATTATGACCTAGATCAAACAACTGTTCCATGATCTGGAGAGGAAGAGGAGGAAACAATCTGGTCAGAAATGAAACGCAATCCATATTGCAGTGTCAACATGTGAAGCTCTGTAGAGGTGGGCCTGGCCGTTGTTTCTTATCTGATGGCGCCAACCGGGTATCCATTGCCCCAGCCCCGGTCTTGTGGTGGTTTTTATCATTGCTTCTGCTCCTACCAGTGCTATTTGTTCGTGGGAGCTTGGCTGGAAGCAATTGGCCTGATTTAAGGTGCTCAAATTGGGGGATCAAGTGATAAGAACATCACTGTGCGAGGTAATTGGGCTCAGTGAGAAATGATTTGAGAATAACAGTTTATAAATCACTGAAATGGTTAAGTTGGCACCTCCTAAAATTAGAGCCAAGTCCTAGTAGTGCCTGCTTATTAAAAACGCATTAGCATAATTAATACTACCCAGCCCCAAAAGCTTTTAGGAACCCTGGAACTCTGGTTAGCTGTACTGACATTGCTGGCCCTAGAGTGAAAACAATTTCTTCAAACTTTGTGGGATACAGTTGTCATGCCTAGTCTCTCAGCCTCATAGTTAAATACCACTGCCCCTGTGAAAAGGCTGGCTGAGATTAATTTTTTAGAAAAATCCTGTGAAATGTGACTCTTGCATACGAGACGTTTGTCAGCTTTGACCCCTTTTGCACTTATGCCCTGAGTGACCCAATTGCCAGAGACTGGGGTAAATCAGATGCCACAGTGTTTGTCTGAGAATGACTAAGTAATTGACAAGTCCTGGCCTTGATGTCATTTGCTGTCTTTCCCAGCCTCTGAGCCCTCCTAGATGTGGTGTGGACTCATGGAGGGTGGAGGGATGGGCTTCTCACTTGAGCTGGCCCTTTTCTGCCACCAGCATTTGAGACCCATGTTGCCAGCATGTGTACAAACACATAACACACGTGTGCATACACGCTCAGAGCAAGGGACTTTTCTGTGGGTGGAGAAAATACCCTTTGCCCTAAGAAACCTACCTCAGACTAAAGCAATGGAATGACGTGTCTGCATTGTAAAACGGGGCTTGGAGGAAAGTGGAGCCCTGCTTATTTTGCAAGGGCTGTACGAAGTATCTGCAGAATGGCTGCTCCCCAAATGGGATCCCTATTTAAGGTACTCAGTTTCTAATATTTTTTCTCTTGCAGGTGTAACCTTCTCTGTGTTTTCTTCCTCCTTGTTGTCTTGTTTCTTAGCAACTTATTCAAACCTCCAGTACTTATGTGAGTTTGCAGCCCACCAACTCCACACCCATAATTCCATGGGGACTTAAAACATTTTTAGAAAACAGTGGAAGCTTTTGGTGGGGAGGCTGCTGGGGGAGTTGGATGGGTAAGGAAGAGAGGCAGCAGCTTTTAGGCATGGAACCCTCCAGAAGACTCACGATCTGAATGCTGCCTAAAAGATTTAAGCCAAATAGTAGTGCCTTGGGGACCTTTTGGACAGAAGGCATATGGAAAATTTAGCGTGTAGAAAAAAGTTATTCACAAAAACGGAGCCAAGGCAACAAGGAGCCTTCATATTCCTGATCTGAAAACAGGAATGCACACAGGGGCCTTGGCCGAATTCACAGGCAGCATTGGCCATTGTGGAACTTGGTTCCAATTGCTAGGCTTTCAAGATTAGTTACGAGGTAAGAATGCATAATCTCTGGATGTACATACAGTTAGTATGGTAATCCGTAAAGGCAAATAATCCTGCAAATTCCCCCTTGATAAACTTCTAGATGCATGTTTGCCCCCTCCCCACACCCCCAAGGTTAGGTCTTGAGTTTGGAGCTGCTGAGAGAGGTGACGCTTCATTTACTTGGTTCCAGCTTTTAAAAATGAAAGAAACGTTAGAGCCAAACAAACTATAACCCTTTTCCCCCAATTTAGGAGGGTGTTTAGGATGCATAGAAAGCAATGATTCTTGCCTTTTCCAGAATGGCGACGGAGGCAGGGAGGGTTCTGGGTTCAGAAATGACCTACCTATATCTTGGTGCATAGGACCAAGTGACTGTGTTGTGGCTCCCTTGCTGGTTTCTGATCACTGTGTGGACCACAGCAGCCCTGTGGCCCTTGTGTTTATGGTCTCGATGACATTCATCACTGGGGTAGTGTGTGTGCAGGAAAGAAATTCCGCACGGTGGCTCTCAGTGGTTCAGAGTGGTACATAAATAGTCAAATACTCAGAGTCCTCTACCAGCTCAGCCCAGTTTTCGTGCACTTTTGGTAAATAAGTAGAAAGGCTTCTTGTTCAGGCTTGCTCTGTGTGAACTGGACTGTTGTGCTTGGCTGGCTTCTTGGTATTCTATCTATTAACCTCGCCACCCTTTTGTAACTGGTGCATTTAATTATCAGTTGGATGCTTTTCAAACAGGTAAGGGTAATGATGGGAATGGGGTGGGGGCATTTCATTGAGAGCCTCAACTCTGCATCTGAGCTCTGGGGCCGCTTGGTGAGTCTTTGAGGTGGGCTTTCATGAGAAAATCACCCTTTGTAACCAGATCGGACTCTATTGAAATGTCAAGCCCTGCAGACTGAATTGCTTTCTATGACTAAAGTCGCCTTAGCTTGGATGCTATAGAGTAGTTGTCCCTTCTTCATACCTCACCTTACCACATAGCCATATGATACGTGAATTCTGTGCGTGAGTATTCCCACACGTGAAATCTCTGGAGACTTTTCTGTTTAATAAGTTTTGTGATTGGAATATGTTATGCTCTGGCCACCCAGACGTGGGCAGGACAATAGCGTGGCCGAATTGACTGAAATGAGGATTACAGAGAATAATGGGGCCTCTCCAAAAATAATGCTAATATGGGGCAAGCAACAGGAAGCCACAGTTGAGTCAGCAGAGTGCAGGCCCCAGACAAACCCGGGGGTGACTGCCTTCACAATGACCACGCTGGCACACCAGGCATTCCCAGGATGTGCGTTACACTGGCGGGCCCGCGCCATCGCCGCGCGGCCTGGAGTTTTGGACGCCGCACGCGTGCCGTTTGGATGGCGGTTTGTTTGTGTCCGTCAGCTTGGCAGGAGGGGAGGCAGCCGCTTCTCAGGACTTGGTTTGGCTGCCACTGTTGCCAGGAAAAGGAAGCTCCTAGCTGCCAACACAATTACCTTTGTTTCTTACATCCCCTCTTCTTAATGTGGCAATTAAGTGCTTACCACTCTGCCTGGTGCCAAGGTAACCACTGTCAAGTGGAACGGGGCGCAGAACACAATCCTGGCACAGCTGAGCGCGGGAAGGGCGGAGGTGCTGGGGGCCGGCCTTGGCTTTGATGCCAGGACACTCCTCTAGGCAAAATTCTGTGGAAATCCTCCCCAAAGGTAACTCTGACAGAAGCTGACCATTCCTCTTTATTGCCACAGGGGAGTGGGAACCAACCCTTGAGTTGACAGATGCCCTCGGGCCTGTAGCTGGAACTGAGAAGGAGCAGAAATGATTCACTCTGCAAACCTAAACTAAAAATATGTTAACTACCTATCCTTCCTAGGAGGCCCTGGGGGGTGCAAGCAGTTAAGTGCTGGGCTGCTAACTTGCAAAGCTGGAGCTTTGAATCCATCCACAGGTACTTCAGAAGAAAAACCAAAAACCCGTTGCTGTCGGAGTCAATTTCTACTCATAGTGACCCTAACAGGCAGAGTAGAACTGCTCCCTAGGGTTTCCAAGGAGCGGCTGGTGGATTCGAACTACTGACCTTTTGGTTAGGAGCCAAATGCTTAACCACTGGGCCAACCAGGGCTCCGAAAAAACCAACCCACTGATTTCCAGCTCAGCTAAAGCTGCTAACCAAAAGGTCGGCAATTCCAATCCACCAGCTGCTCCTTGGAAAACCTATGGGACAGTTCTTCTCTGTCTCATGGGGTAACTATGAGTCGGAAGAAAGGCCCAGTGAACTACTTCCGAAAAAATCAGCCATTGAAAACCCTATGGAACACAGTTCCACTCTGACACATATGGGGTCACTGTGAGTTGGAATCCACTGGACGGGCAACTGTTATTTTTTTATTGTTGTCGTTTTTACATATCCATCCTACTTTGTCACTAGGTTGTTCTGAAAAATTTTAAGGAAAACGAATGCCACATGACCTCATAGACTCTATACGGGTTTTCTTTTCATAGTTTGAAACTAGGAAAAACTCAGGTATTTGTTGTTTTTGTTTTGTTTTTTGGATGAGATTGCTAAATTCAAACATCCCCCCCCCCATCATCTTGCCTGGCACCCCTTTCCAACCTCCCTCTGGGACTCGGCCTCTGCTGAGGGTCAGATTTTCAATGGCTAATTGGGTGTGACATGATCATAGTGGATTACTGATTTGCGGCCTGGTACCCTGCTTTGATGGCGTAAGGTGTGCGTGATCTGGGATTTCAGTGTCTGAATGTATATCCAGGGATGTACAAAGGTCAAGTATGGGCCTGGGAAAAATTAGAGTTCCCTAGCAACTAATAATCATTGTTGAATTATCTTGATTGTTGATCTGTAGTGTGGGGATGGAGTGGGAGGGTAGGAGCACCTTCTAATAGGAGCCTTGCAGGGAATCCTGTTCTCTGAAGGCTCGGCAGGAGTAATCCTCCTACCCTAGGAGGCGTGTCCCAGAGCCATAATTTATCCTCTGAAGCTCGGGAGAGAGAAATGAAAAATGCACTACTATCAAGTTGATTCCAACTCATATCGACCCTACAGGACAGAGTAGAACTGCCTCAGAGGGTTTCGAAGGCTGTAATCTTTACGGAAGCTGACTCCCACATCTTTCTCTCGCAGAGCAGCTGGTGGGTTCGAACTGCCAACCTTTTGGTTATCAGCCAAGCGCTTTAACGGGAGACAGAAAGTCTAGGCTTTTGTGGGGCTTTTTGCTGATGCTGCAGCCCCCTGCCTTCACCCTGTCTCCACCTCTGAGAGAATCTAGGTGACTAGAGCTGTGTGTGTCTGGCTTTTTACCCTCAAGGTGGGGTGGTGTTGGTGAGTACCTTCAAAGGTCTGCCCAGTTCTGGGGAGGATGAGCCTGGTGGACGACTTGGCTTCCCAAGTTCTTGGGAAAGATCTGTGGATGTCTTCCCCCTTGAGTGTTAACCAGAGTTACTGCTGGCATGCCAGCTCAGCTCTGCCTTCCCTGACGGGGGTGGGGGGGTTTGTGGGGATTATGTGTTTAACGCTTGTGCAAGTCTGTCAAAACTCTTGATATCAATGCATTTAATCAGAGGATTAATTACAATAATATTGTTGAAGTGCAGGACGTGGGTCTCCACGTTACCAGCAAATGAAGGGCTTAAATTATACTAAATCAGCCCCCCATCTGCCCTCCTTCTGACTTGTCTCTCGTCGCAAATCAGTCGAGAAATATTATTTCTTGCTGCTCTTTGGGAAGAGTCCTGTAATTTGTAGGAAGTCCTAGGAAACATAAAGGGGCTGTAAATAAGGTGTAACTTTCGCTAATAAAATATTAACGAGGGCAACAATGAACTTAGTCCGATGGCCACTGCCAGGAGAGAGCTGGGTACGTGCCCCGGCCTGCCCGGTTGTGCTTGCTTTTCTGAGCATTTTCCCACAGTTATCAGTGAACGAAATGGAATCCTCTTCTGCTTTGAGTATGAAACATATTTCGGCTGAATTCCAAGGCACAGTCTATACAAGGTATTTTTATATTCCAAGACAACTTGCTGTGTCGCAGTAAGGGCAGTGAACTTGCTCTGAGCTGTGAATGAAGTTCCTTTTTTTTTTGCCTTCACCTTATAGGTACCCCTTCTTTCGGTGGCAGCATATTTCTGGCAACGGGGTATTTATTTAATCAACAGGCGCTCTTCCCAATATATTGGTCGTTGACAGTGGCAAAGCAAGGATGCGTAAAAGGATTCATGGTCCTTTTTTCCCCCGTGGCCGCCTAGATAGCAGAAAGTTTAGCCTTGGCAACCCCATGGGGGCAGTTCTCCTCTGTTCTGTAGGGTTGCTATGAATTGGAATGGACTCAACTAGAGGGCAGTGGGTTTGGTTTTGTTGGTTGGTGTTCTGGGAGACTGACCTGATTTTAAATTACAAATGAAGATTTGAGTAAAAGTGGGAATTTGCTAATGGCTTGGATTTGGGCGAGAGGTAGAATTCTGTGATAAGACTGGAAAGATAAGAGAGGCCTTCAGTATAAAAGCTGGCATCTCGCCAGTATCCAGGGAATTTGTTTAGTTAGTGGGCTCTGATTATTCCTGGAATGTTAGATCTTATGGACAGATAAGTTCATCAATAAATATAATCCTGGGGTGTGCTGTTATTTCACCTTTTGTTCTTCCCTGAGCCTATCCTGAGCCTATCCTTCGCTCCCCCTCTTCCACACAAGTTAGGTTGCCTTCTTTGTCTTACAGAGTCTCTTTGCACCTACCCCCCCTCCTGCTTCCTAGAGTTACCTGATACTTGTGGGAGCGGTGATGGTCTCTCACAGACAGGGCTTTCAAAGGGGTTCTGAAAAGGAAAAGGGGGCCTCCCTGGGGACAGCTCCACCGAGGCCCAAAAGTGTAATCTTAGCAATACTCAGTCCTCCCTACTGGATGGGGACACCCCCTTCCCCCACCTGGTACAAATACCTGGTCAACTTAGAATAAATTCTTTTATGTGTTTTTCTTAAGTGCTAGAGTTGGGGTCTGGAAAGTTCTGGAACACTCTATGCTAAGTGTCCACATAGGAGGTGGCATTTCCTGGTTAAGACTCTGAGCTGCCCTGACTGGTGACAGCAGTGGGCCCCTCCCAGGTGAAACCTGGAGGGCAGGGGATACTTAAGAGGTGAAGGGAGTTGGTCTGGATTTAAACACCCTAGATCTCAACTCAATGGCAAATATAATTTTAATTTTGGTTTTATGTTTCTGTTTGGCTTGGGGGGTGTGCGGGGAGGCCAAGAAAGTGTGACGTTTGAGAGGTGATCCCTATTTTTGAGTGACTATGCTTATCTGTTTTGCAGAGGTCCTACACTTTGCTTGTGGAGGCATGGGACTCCAGCAATGACACCGTTCGTAAGTATTACTTCAGTGGGCTTCTCTCTGAACGCGCGTGGAACCGCATGGCTTGGCTGACAGTACTTGTCAGAGCTGGAGCTGTCTCTTCCATACTTAGAGGAACCGTCCCTTGCTGTCAGCCCCCCTCCCCCAAGTGGTCTCTGTTCCTTACCTCCCCTAGAATGTTAGCATGGAATATTAAGTGGCCAGCACAGACTCCCAGCTAACTGGGTCCCAGAATATGGGACCGAGATTATCTTTGGGATAGAGATCTTAATGGTTTTACAACTTTCAAACCTTGTAGACTGCTAAAGGATCAAAGTGGTGACTTTTTAAAAGTCCATTTAAACTTTAAGTGAGCGTTTAATCTCTCATCAGAAAGATAAAGCCCTTAAAGGTGGTGCTGGGCTCTAAAGACACCTTGAATTTCACTTAGCGGGCAGGCGAGCTCCGGGCTCAGCAGGTTTCCCACACTGCACAAGACTTCCATTGACGCTGAGTTCCAAAGCTTCACAGCCATTACTTGCCTCCTCTCTGAAAGATAACTCTGTTTGCAGCCCAGCTTGCTTTTCAGAACTGCTAGGGGTGGCTTTGGTGGGAGTGCACAGGATATGCGTTGAAATGGCCACAGTCTGGCTTATAAGGTAGTCCTGCTATTTAATTGGAACTTAAAAACATTTTCCCTCTTGAGCCAAAACTATGAGTTCCCTTTTTGCCAGCAAGGCCTGTGTGGTTGTCATGAGAAAACTTGATCCAAGCTGAGATGTCGTGGTCTCTGTGTGTGGGGAAGGCTCGACCCACCTTTTTGTCTTTGCCTTCCGATCCTCTCTGCACATCTTGTTCTTTTTCCTTCTCCACCTTCCTCACCTTTCCTCTGTGTTTACACCACTAACTGTCTTTTCCTGCTCTTCTCACTTTGTGTTTTTACCAACCGAATCTGAGAGTGGTGAGTTCCTGTGGTGGGCACGGTGAGGGTGGACCGATTTGGGGCCGTGGCTGCCCATTGGGCCATTGCTGCCATGGGACCGCTGAACTATTGCCGAGCCCTGGTGGGCCAGAGTCTCCCAGGCCATTCATTGGTCACTGCTCTTGCTTTGGCATCTTGAGTCCAGATCTGTGGCCATCATCCCTGCCTGGGAGGAACTGTGACAGTCCAGGCTCTGAGCCTCCCTCCCCAGGGGCGTCCCTGTCCCGCTGTGGTGTGTGGAGGGAAGTGGTAGAGGGATGTGCCAGCCTTGGTTGCAACTGGTGCCAGCCAGGGTTAGAGACACCTGTTAGTTCTCCCCTCCCTCCCTCCGCTGGACAAACATTGGTCATGTATGTCACTGTGACCTAGCACAGTGGGAACTGAGTGTTAGGAAGATGGGGGCAGTGGAGGAGAAATCGGCTCTTTGCCATTCTGCTGGTGCGGGCGTGGTTTTCTCCTTTCTTTCCCTTTTAGATGTTAAAACAATCCATCTTTGGCCTGGACACACTTAAGGGTGATCCTGGCTCTGGTGGAGCCCTGGGGGGACACTGTTGGGGAAGTGGTGGGGGCCCCTTGTTCTGCACTGCCTCTCCTGGGGCTCCCGTAGCCCACAGGTCAGGTAGCAGGTAGCTTGCCCCTGGGAAGCAAAGACTGCCTGGAAGGCAGGACTGGGAGCCTGGGGCCCATGCAGAGATATCCACGAAATCAAAATCAAACTCATTGCTGTCAAGTTGATTCCAGCTCATAGCGACCCTATAGAACAGAGTAGAACTGCCGCGTGGGGTTTTCAAGGCTATAATCTTTATGAAAGCAGACTGCCTCATCTTTCTCTCGTAGAGTGACTGGTTGCTTCAAACCACCAACCTTTTGATTAGCAGCTGAGTGTTTAACCACTGCACCACCAGGGCTCCGAAGCTGCCCATGGTTATCTACATTTTGGGACTCTGGAGCCCTGGTGGCAGAGAGGTTAAGCAATCGGCTGCTAATTGAAAGGTCGTGGTTCAAACCCACCAGATGTGACAGTCTGCGTTTGTAAAGATTATAGCCTTGCAAACCCTATGGGACAGTTCTACTCTGTAAGGAGCCCTGGTGGCGCAGTGGTTAAGTGCTCAGCTGCTAACCAAAGGGTTGGCAGTTTGAAACCATCAGCCCCTCCGTGGGAGAAAGATGTAGCAGTCTGTTTCAATAAAGATTTACAGTCTTGGAAACCCTGTGGGGCAGTTCTTCTCTGTCCTATAGGGTCACTATGAGTCGGAATTGACTCAATGGCAATGGGTTTGGTTTGGTTTGCGGGAGGGGCATCTTACCTCTTGCTGGGGGGAGTAACTGAATCACTGGAAGGGACAAAGAAGACTATGAGGGTAGGAATAAAGTGCTTCTAGACCTCTGCTTAGGAAGAGAGGTTGATGCCAAGTCAAGTAATACCCGTTGTGGGTAATTACAACTCACTTGTTGAACCTAGATGAAGAGGCATTGTGGATTTGCTAGGAGTGGTTTGTCCACTTTCCTATTTCTTCTGAAGTACCTCAGATTCACCACATCCAAAATTGAACTTGGGATTCCCGTTTCCTCTCCGAGAGCACTCGCCTTCCCAGGGTCCTTTCTAGGTGGTTGGCATCAACAGTAGAACACCACAGTGCTGTAAGTCAGAAATCTGGAAGGCACCCTGTGTACCTCCCTCTCTCTTAGCATCCATATCTAATCCATCTCCATGTTCTGAAAATCTTATCTCCAACTCTCCACTCAAGTGTGCTTCTTCCCACTGTCTTCCCTACCACCACCTTGGTCCAAGTCGCCATCCACCCATGCCTGGACCCTTACAGTAGCCATCTAACTGGTCCACCCGTATCTACCCTGATCCACCTTCAGTGCTTTCTCCATTCTCTGCCAATGTGGTCTTTTCGGTGTATAACATCTGTTTTCACCTTCCCAGCATAAAGGTGACCACCCAGTGACTTTCCATTACTCTTGGGACAGATTTTGTGTGGCCAACAAGGCCTCGCACAGCCCAGCTTTGTCTCCCTGCCAGCTTCATCTTAAACAGCCCACGCTGCTACCAGTGATATCTGTATCCTAGGTAAACCCTAGCAGTCACCTTTCAGTCTTCATATGCATTGTGTTCACTCCTGCCTCAGGACCTTTGGATGTGCTGTTTGTTCTGCATGGAATGTTTTACTTCTTACCCCCTTCAACCTCTGTCCATCCCAGTGGATTTTTCTCCAAGAGGGCAGAAGTTGAGCATGCGTAGGAACCCAAATGGAGTTGGCTGCCCTTTGGGGCGCAAAGGAAGCTGCAAACATCAGCTTTCAGGTGTAAATTAGAGGCAGAACCCTGAGTTTTATGAACTCTCACAAGCAGAGCCTAGTCCAGACGAAGCCCAGAGGCTGTTCATGTATTTCAAGGTATTTTCTGAGGCTGGCCCTGTTGTCAGTCTTCCAAAGTCATTTCTGTTGCATTTCAGGATCTCTGTATGTAAGGTCAAAATTTGTCTTTATCACCTAGAGCAAACGGTTTGGCTTTACTGTGATGATTAATAAATATGTAATCACAGGCATACTTAGGCCAGGTTTTCCTTATAGCTTAACTTTATTGGCTAAGGCTTTTGTCCAGATTTGTTGGTTATGGTGTGGTCTCGGGGCTGTGCTCAGGCTTGCCTCTCAATTACCTCCTCCTTGGGCTGCAAGGCTGTTTTGGGTGCTTGGTGATTGTTCTTCATGCCATTGAAGATTGCAGGGAGGCATGGTAAGACCCTGTGCCAATCACATGGCTGTACTACAAAGTGAACTACCCCAAGTATATATGTGTGATACCAAAACCAAACCAAACCCATTGCCTCTGAGTCATTTTTGACTCATAGCAACCCTGTAGGACAGAGTAGGACTGCCCCATGGGGTTTCCAAGGCTGTAATCATTACGGAAGCAGACTGCCACATCTTTCTTCTGCAGAGTGGCTGGTGGGTTTGAACTGCCAACCTTATGTATATATGCATGTATATGTGTATGTAAATGCATATATGTGTGTGTGTGTGTGTATGTGTATGTCCTAAGCTGGTTATTGTGTGCTGTTGAATCGATTCCAACTCACATTGACCCTATAGGACACAGTAAAAATGCTCCATAGGGTTTCCTAGGGTGTAATCTTTACAGGAGCAAACTGCCAGGTCTTATCTCATGCAGAGCTGCTGGTGGGTTCCAACGTTTCAGTTAGAAGCTGGACACTTAACCATTGTGCCACCAGGCCTCCTTCCCAGGCTGATAGGAACCGTGATTTAGGCAGCTGCTAGAAGCAGGCAGCAAACTGGCTTTCTGTCGCCCAGGTGCCCGAGAGCACGTCAGACACTGACCTCCTTGGCCGTGGTTCAGTTAGGAAAAGTCTGTCATGCAGGTGTGAAGTTACTTACCCAGACCTGCTAGCTCCATTGAAGGAGCCCTGGTGGCGCAGTGATTACAGTACTCATCTGCTAACTCAAAGGTCGGCGATTCCAACCCGCCAGCCGCTCTGCCGGGGAAAGCTGTGACGGTCTGCTTCCGTAAAGATTTACAGCCTTGGAAACCCTGTGGGGCAGTTCTGCTTTGTCCTGTGGGTCCAACTTCTATGAGTTGGAAATGACTCAACGGCAGTGGGTTTTTTTGTTAGCCCCGTTGAGGATGCTGAGACTATCTTTTCACAGCCTTTCCTGGAAATCCATAGAAAGTATGCTGTGACTCCTGAAAATGGCAAGCTGCGTCTTTGGGATTGCCCTGTACTCTTCGGGATTGTTTGTTGTTGATACCTGCCTGCCTGAGGGCCGCTGGCAGCCCTTGAGCCATGGCTGGTGTGTTTAAATAATTCCTTTATTAAGATCTCAAGCGGCATGACGCCTTCCTCGTAACCACGTGGTAATAGCCCACTACACTTCTTAATTGAACCAGCAGAGCAAACAAGCATTTAATGGAGGGACATTTTTGTCATTCTTTGGTCTGTGTTTATTTGCAAAACTTAAGTTAGTAAAAGTGTTATCTGCAAGTGGTTCTGTGCTCACTATGGTGTAAGGCTGCAGGTATGTGGGCTTGTTGAAGGCTTGTCTTGCCCACAGACAGTTAAAGAAACCCAGAGGGCGAGCACTGGGCCGTGGGGAAGTAGACGTGTGTGCATGAAGCCGTCCAGGAGTTCCTCTGAGCCTGGTCACCTACAGGGCTTACAGAGCCACGTGAGTGAGCAGAGGCCTGGGGCCTAGAAAAACGGGTGTGGGTGGGGAAGAATCACAAAGACATAGAAAGTAGGGCCTAAGCTGTCTCTCCAAGGTGGCCTTGAGTTTGACAAAGTGGTGAAGAGTTGGTGCTGGCAGGTTTAAGAAAACAAACACAAAACCAGGCTGCGGTGCTGACTTAGTGTATTGCTGCCTTTTCACGTCCCTCTTCTGAACTCCTGGCACCTGGAGGTTGGAGCTATTTTTGTACCTGTCTCTTCTCTCAGACTAGATTATGGGGGAGCTCGGGGCAGGGACCACTTCTTAACTCCTCTTGAGAGTGGCATGAGCTCTAGGCATTTCTCTTTCTCAGTAGGAGCATAGCTTGGCTCAAAAATAGCTCAAGTCCACCTGTCTCTAAACTGGGGTGAACTCTTTTCCCATCTTCCTCTGGGCAAAGGTGAATTGTTTTAAGTTCATGGTGTTGCTATTTAAACAGCAGTTTAAAAGGTGGTGAAGTTTATGGTTTAAAAAAAAAGCAAAACACAACAACAAAATAAATAAGAAGATTACAATAACTTAATCTACTACCCTGGCTTCTGTAGAAGAGAATAGCTTTGAAGCAGATAAAGCTTTTCTAAGCAAACACACAAAACTCTACAACCAGAAGAGAAAAGATTAACTTTTACATGGAATAATTAAATTTCTTCAAGAGCAGCATTCCATAAAGGGCAACCTTCCATAATATGTAAAGAGCGTTTGCAAAGCAGTATGAATAATAATACAGAAAAGTTGGCAAAGGAGAGAGACAGGTTGCGCTTCACAGGGAACCATTATAGATGGTTTTGTAAACACATGAAAGGCTGCTTAACATCACTCAATTAAATGCTAACTAAAACAAGAGATACCTCTTTACCTATCAGGCAAAGATCGGAAAGTTTGATAAGGCCCAGTGTTTGGCACTGCTATTGGGAAATGTAATTTCCGATGCGGGTGGGAGGACGGATGACAGGGCTGCACTGGTGGGTAGCTTGGGAATGCCTGCATACAGAAGCGGGTTGGTGTGCACATAGTCTGATTCAGCACTTCCACTTCTAGGAAATTTTCCTACTGCTGGAACCACACCCATGGGCGAATATGTTCAAGGATGTTCCTTATGTCTTTGCCTAATAGCAGAAGGCCAAAAGCAACCCAAATGCACGTATTTCAGGAACCGAATAAATAATTTAATAGTAACTTCCAGACAACTACAGTAAAGCCCATGAGAGTTGGAACCTGTGTAAGGCTGAAACCTGTCAGAAAAGGAAAATGCAAATATTTTTCACTAAAATGAGCAATAGAAAAGGGGTAAGACTGCACCCTGTCAAAGGCAGAAAACTTGAGAGACCCAGAAAAACAAGGCAGTTTTGTGGAGTTCTGGCTCCCACGGGTTTCACTGTACCATGCACCCACTGAAAAGGGTAAATAAGTACTAACAGTGGTTGCCTCTGGCGAGGGGGCCGAACGTTTTGTTTTCTGCCCTTTTATCCTGTTTGAATTTTGTACCATGTGCATATGTTATTTTAAAACAGCCAAAATGGTCAGGAAAGGAGGCATTGTGAATGCGATTAAGTTTCTTGCTTTTTTTTTTTTTTTTTTTTTTTTTTCCTCTAGAACCTGACAACATTATTGAAAAGGCTT